GCTCTCCAGAGAAGCAGACAACATTTCACTTCTTCTGAGTTTGTTGGTTAGAGTTCTCTAATTATATTTGCAAAATTCTTTTCATCATTCTATTTAAAGTTGCTTGATTTTTGCTATATTTCTTGGTTCTTGCACATAGTTTGACAATGTTTATATTTATTTTTGTTGTTTTTGCAGTCAGAGGAGGATTTCTATGTACGATATTACACTCTTCAACTTTTGACAGCTCTTCTCACAAATTCTCCAAATAGGTATCAGTTTAGAACTACTATTTCCCTTTAGTCTAATTTTTTTGGATTCTTTTAGTGGTTTTGGAAATAAATTTTTCTGAGTTCCTCTTCAGGTTACAGGAAGCCATTCTGACCATACCTCGTGGTATAACTCGCTTAATGGATATGCTTATGGATCGTGAGGTACAATTCACTGAATGATAATTTATCATTTTGCATTTAACTCTATTATCAACATGTTTCGCTACAATTTAACTTTTAAGCTAAAATTCATGTTTATTGGTCACCTCTCTATTTGAGGATTTTTTTGAAATCTTTTGGAACCTATGAATTATTGAAATATGATTGTGGTATCAATCTTTTCCTGTTGTTCAGTCATACTGAACTATTGTGTTTTCCTTCTAGGTTATACGAAACGAGGCCTTATTACTTCTTACTTACTTGACCCGTGAAGCTGAGGTGAGATTTTTCTCCCACATGATCCTTTGTCTCTTCTTTTTATTTAGTTAAATTTTTTGAACTTGTGACTGAAAAGTGCGTTTCTTTCCTTTTTTTGAAAAGAGACTCAATATTTTGTTAGTGTAAACAATAAAATTACAATCAAGTGGGCAAGATGTCCATTCCAAAGTACAACAGAACACTAATACATAAAAGCTATCAATTGCTAAACCATCAGAACTGAAAAGTGTGTTTTTACCTTTTTATTAACTGATAGATTATTATGATTTCAGGAAATTCAAAAAATTGTGGTCTTCGAAGGTGCTTTTGAAAAGATTTTCAGCATCATCAAAGAAGAAGGTGGTTCCGATGGTGGTGTTGTTGTGCAGGTAATTCTCTTTGACTTATTCTTTTCATATTTAATTCCCTGTGTGACTTGTTTAAGTATCGTTGCTGATAAACCACTTGTCAAGCTTCCTTCTATGGATTAGTTTTGTGAAATTGACATGAATAAAAAAGCCTTTCTTTCTTTGGTAGGTTTAGATTTTATAACTATACTGATATTTTCACCAAATTTTATAGGTAAAATAAAAATTTTCCACTATTTCACTGCAAGGGATGCAAATGTTTGTTTGTTATATACTAAACTTGTGAAACACTTACTTGTCATGTTCTAATGCCTTGCTTATAGAGGGATGGCTGTTGGCACACTGTGTTACAAAATAAAATGTGTGTATTTCATAAATCAAGTTCCCATTTCTAATACCCGCTAATCTCTAAAAGAA